CTCCTGCCTCAGCCTCCTGCGTAGCTGGGATTACAGGCACGCACCACCATGCCCAGCTAATTTTTTGTATTTTTAGTAGAGACGGGGTTTCACCATGTTGACCAGGATGGTCTCGATCTCTTGACCTCGTGATCCACCCGCCTCGGCCTCCCAAAGTGCTGGGATTACAGGCTTGAGCCACCGCGGCCGGCTGTTTCCACCTTTTGAAAATTATTTTTAAAATGCTGCTATGAACATTCACGTAAAAGTTTTTGTTTGAATATCTATTTTGTAGTTTCCAGAGTATAAGTTTTATTTTATACATAGAAGATCATGTTATCTGCAAATAGAGATGCTCTTTCTTCTATTCCAATCTTTTCTCCAGTGTATTTTATTTCTTTTACTTGCCCAATTGCCCAACATTAACAATGTTAAACAGAAGTGGGGATCATTGGGGCCGGGCGCAGTGGCTCAAGCCTGTAATCCCAGCACTTTGGGAGGCCGAGGCGGGTGGATCACGAGGTCAAGAGATAGAGACCATCCTGGTCAACATGGTGAAACCCCGTCTCTACTAAAACTACAAAAAATTAGCTGGGCATGGTGGCGCGTGCCTGTAGTCCCGGCTACTCGGGAGGCTGAAGCAGGAGAATTGCCTGAACCCAGGAGGCGGAGGTTGCTGTGAGCCGATATCGCGCCATTGCACTCCAGCCTGGGCAACAAGAGCGAAACTCCGTCTCAAAAAAAAATATATATATATCAAGTCTCTTATAAGAAAAAGGAAATTCAGTTGTCATCAGATTTCTCCACTGCTAAATTCAGTACCCAAACAGTGGGGTAAATTTTCCAATATACTTGTGAAAAAAACAAATTAGGGAGTCGAAACATTTTTATATCCAGCCAAGCTGTCATTCAAGTATAAAGGATATAAGGAGTTTTAAGATGCAACTTAGGAAATACTGTTGACATGAGCTCTTTCAGAAGAAACTACTAGAAGACGTACTCCAGCCACAAAAAAGACAATAGTGAAAGTGTCAGCAAAAGAATAGTAGTGATGCTGAACATATTTAAATGCAAATCTAAATAAAATAGTGAGAGTGGAATTATGGTAGCCAGCATCCTGGATGGCCCCAAAGGTACCCAGTCTGTGGTATTCTGTGTAGCTGCTTCCTACACTGAATAGGGTTAACTTGTGTACCAATAATATACTGCGGAAATGATAGCGTATGAGATAGGTCATAAAAGACACTGTGGCTTCCACCTTATGCACTCTTGCTGTCCTGTTGCTCTGGAGAAAGCCAGATAACATGTCATAAAGACATTTAAGAAGCCCCATGGAGAGGTCTACATGGTGAGAACCTGAGGTCTATTGCCAATAGCCACGTGAGAGTCTTGTTGGAAGGTGATACTCTAGTCCCAGTTATGCCTTCAAATGACAGTAGCCCCGGCCAAGAGTGTGGCTGCAACTTCAAGAGACCCCAAGCCAGAACTTCTCAACTAAGCCACTCCTGAACTCCTAATCTACAAAATGGTGTTAAGATAAATATTTATTGCTATTTAAAGGTAACATGTTTTACAGCAATAGATAACTAATATAGAAATGAAGGTTAGAGAAGAGACAATAGACTAGCTCACTGATTGCCCCATTTGTGATAACTGAGAGATAAAGGGTGTCATTTAAAGCTGAAAATCAAGGGGAAGAAATTTAGAAAAGTTGAAGAGTACAGCCAGGGCAGGAGGATCGCTAGAGGATAGGCGTTTGAGACCAGCCTAAGTAAAAGAATGAGACCTTGCCAAAAAAAAAAAATTGAATACCAATGGAAAGTCAGGGCAAAATGTCAACCAAATTCTAACATACAAGCAAAAAGTAGGAAATTTAAATTTAAATTTAAATTTAAAATGACAGCACTTAGCGGCAAAAATTCAAATTCCTACAAATTTACATTATTTATTATAAGATTTCAAATAATCTTTACATTACTACAAATAATTAAAGAAGATCTAAACAAATAAAAGAATTTATCACATTCATGGGATGAAAGGCTGATAATTTTCAAGGTGTCAGTTTCACCCCAATATAGTGGTATAGGAAGCTTAAAAGTAAAGGATAGCAAGTGATATACCATGCAAATCACAATCAAAATAATGCTCAGGTGGCTATGATATCAGGTAAGGTGGATTTCTGAGCAAATAAATAGACTGGTAGAAAGGATGGTCTTTCAATACAGGGTGCTAGGTCAAGTGAATTTATATGAGGAAAACAAATCATTATTTCCTCTGATGACATACACAAAAATCAATTCCAGGTTTATATACCTACGTGTGACAGATAAATTTAGATGAAAATACAGAATATCTTTATACCTTTGGGATAGCAGAGATTTGAATAGGATACAGAGAGTACAAACCATAAGAGAAAAATTATAATGATCAGACTAATTTTAAAAAGCAATTTCTGTTCATCAGAAGAGAGTGAGTGGGCCCGGCGTGGTGACTCACGCCTGTAATCCCAGGACTTTTGGAGGCCAAGGTGGGAGAATTGCCTGAGCCCAGGAGTTCGAGACCAACCTGGGCAACATGGTGAAACCCCGTCTCTACTAAAAATACAAAAAATTAGCTAGGTGTGGCGGTGTGCACCTGTAGTCCCAGCTATTCAGGAGGCTGAGGCAGGAGAATTGCTTGAACCTGGGAGGTGGAGGTTGCAGTGAGCTGAGATCACGGCACTCCAACCGGGCAACAGAACCAGAGCAAGACTCCATCTCCAAAAAAAGAAAACAAAACACAATATAGATGGCTCTCACAAACATAACGTTGAACAAAAGAAGCCAACATAAAAGAGTACACATTATATAATTCTGCATATATATAAGTCCAAAAACAGACAAAATTGATGTATGGTGGTTACTTAGAGCTACTGACCAAACAGAACCAGGAACTTCTAGGGTACAGGTAATATTTTATTTTTTGGTCTGGGTGCTTATTACATGGGTGTTCCCTCTGTAGTAATTCACTTAAGCTGTATAGTTTTGATTGTATTGTTTGTTTTTGAGACAGACTCTCGCTCTGTCACCCAGGCTGGAGTGCAGTAGCATGATCTCGGCTGAATGACACCTCTGCCTCCTGGGTTCAGGCGATTCTCCTGCTTCAGCCTCCCAAGTAGCTGGGGGGATTACAGGTGCCCGCCACCATGCCCAGCGAATTTTTGTATTTTTAATAGATACGGGTTTTCATCATGTGGTCAAACTCCTAACCTCAGGTGATCCATCTGCCTTGGGCTCCCCAAGTGCTGGGATTACAGGCGTGAGCCATCAGCCCAGCCTGTTTGTTTGATTTTATTATCATGTATACGCTTGTCTGTATATATGATAAACTTCAATAAAAAGTTTCATTAGGGAGAAACACACCATATTACAAGGCAAATGCCAACAAAAAAATGAGAGGCCATGATCTTGAGCACACCAAAGTCTGCAACCCATAATAAATACATAACAATCATTAATATCTGTATATCAACTAATAAAGCAACAACTTTCATAAAGCAAAAGTTACAGGTTATATAAGAAATAAAATTTCATTAATAGAGAATTTTCATACACCTCTCTCAATCCAAGACAAATCAAGTGCAAGACAAAAAGTGACTAAAGACTGACCGTATATTAGATCATAAATAAAAGTTCATTAAGTTCCAAAGTTTAAAAGTAACACAATATAGCAAAACTGTAAATTATATTATCTGTGAAGAGGGGACCTGTGTACTTTACTGGAAGTCTTCAACATAATAGAATTCATTTTCTTCTGTTTCCCAGCTTCTAGAGAACACCAACATTCTTTGGCTCAAGGCCCACTTCCTCTATCTAGCCAGCAAGGTGGCATCTCTCTTACCATTCTTCTATGGTCACACCTCCCTCTGACTTTAAGCTCAGCCAGGAAAGGTTCACTGACTTTAAGGACCCATGTCATTGTATTGGGTCCAACAAGATAATCGCCCCCATTTCAAGGTTCTTAAACTTAATCCCCTTTGCAAAGTCCCCTTTGCCATATAAGGGTAACATAGTCACAGGTTCCAGGGATCAGGAAGTGAATATTGGCTGCAGGGCCATCATTCTGCCTACCTCAACCACCTTTATGGCTTCTATCTTAAGCTTCCCTCTTTTTGAGAGATACTTGATGAAGGAAATAATGTATACAGTGGTCCATTTCCAAGACAAAGTGCCTTGAATCACCTTAGTTAAGCAAACTATAGAAGAAACAGGATAAACTAGGCCCCTGCTTGGATAGCTGATGCCTGCTTGTCAGCCTACCGCTTCCCGGCCTTTTCTCGCCTTACTTGCCTTCACCCAAGCCAAAGAAGTTTCGTGTAAGATGAAATTTTTCTAGCCTGAAAAATAACTCGTTTTGTCTGTTCTTATCAGCCTGCCCAGCTACTTAGGTCATAAGTCAAACACTTAATAAGCCCCTGAACTAACTAGGATTGCAATGCATTGTGGGCTGCAACAAAATACATCAAGACAACCCTAAAAACAACACCTGAAGCTCCTACCCAACAATCAATAGGCGACGTCAGGGAAGACTGACCCCATAGTACTCAGTCTATGAAAAATCAGGGGAGGAACCTGTGCACTCCCCTGGTTTCTCATAGGCTGAGTTTTATTTATGTCATAGGGGATAAATTGCTTGTTGAAATTGTGCTGGGTGTGCCTGCCTATCAGACATACAATCTTGCAAGACCATCATTAAAAGTCTCATTTTTGCTGTTCTCCGGGTCTCTGAGTCCATTCTTTGGGTTTGGATGGGTAAGGTTGTTTCTCACACTCAAGAAATCATCTTTCATTACCCCAATGCTATCTCTCCAAAACTGACTTGAATCCAACCAGAATAAGTGTCATTCCAACCTTGGATTTACATTTATCTACTGTAAGAAGCCCCAGAATTTCTAGTCAACTGTCTGTTTTCAGACACTGTACTCCATCAAGTCCCATTTGTGCCCTTTTCTCATTCTTCCCCAACTCTCAACACTCTTCCTGTATGCCCTCATAATGGAATTCATAATTCATTAACAACCAACTCCTCTTTTATCGTCAACCACTTCCTTGAACGTGCCCTTTACATTCGGAGTCTAACAGAAACCAGAATCTATCCAGAGGACTCTGCAGCCCTCTCAACATTTCCCCGGCTACAGCCTCTTACCAGTGGGCCTGAAAATGGAACAAATGGCTGGCCTCCTTGCTGTTTATTACCTTCAGACCTTTCTTCCTCCCCTCCTCCACAAACTCTAGTTTTGAATTTCCTGCCATGAGATTATATATAAACTTACCACATCTCACTTTTGTTGATCTCTACCAAACACAGACTATTTTCCCTCTGTCTCTGAAATCTTGAGCTCATGGTTTGCTCTCTGCAGGACTATTACCCTTAGAAAAAAAAAAAAAAAATTCTTGCATTTTTAACCACACCCACACAGATGAGCCTGGTTTACTTACTCTTGCCTGGACTTTTCCCCCCTCTCACGGCTCATTCCCAACAGCATGTTGATTGGTTGTTATTCCCCAGCCCTCTACCCCGACCAGCTGCTACATTTCTCTGTCCTAATTCACAGAGAAACTCTTGAAATACGTTGTCTACACTGTCTCCCATTCTTCTCCCCTCGTTCTAGATTGCCCCACTCCAATCCAGCTACCAGCCAGCACAGAAACTGCTCCCCACACATTCACTAAGGACTATGCCTGTCACTCAACGCAAAGCTCAATTCTTTGTTTTCGGACCCATAGCGGGCGCTATGACCACCTTTACGGAGGCGGTCACGCACAACGTGAGATGCAGTCATAATCAAGTACATAGAATCACATTTAAATAGTCCATTATGGTCACACACAGCACCCGTCACCGTCGCGTGCGCGTACACGCGTACACACACACACAGACCCCAGAAGCTCCCATCGCGGTCACCCCCACGCCCCGCTCCTGCATCACATTCACTCACGCCCCGACGGCTCCCATTGCGATCGCTAGCCCCGACGCTCCCTCGCAGGCAAAGCCACCGACTCCAAAGACGTTAGCCCCCCACTCCCCTCAGCCCCGGCCTCAGGCCCTCCGGAGTCATTCGGCTTCTGTGTCTTAGAGTCACTCACCCTGTCCTGCCGTCCGTTGATGGTGAAAGGTTCCCCTATTTCCCTATCTTTGCGAAAGGGACAGAGGGCTGACAGGAAGTTGCCGGGGGAACGGTGCACTCTGGGAAATGTAGTCCGGAGCCTGGGCAGCCTTTAACAGTCCGAGATATCCTGGCCTCCATTAACCGGCCCTGAACTTGAGCCCCATCACCTCGCTAGGCAAAGACCATCGCCCACACACCGCTCACATTTGCGGTAGAGAGCTTCCGAGCATTCCAGGCCGCGTTTAGCACGCTTCAGCGGCGGCCTGTAGGCTGCCCTATCTCTACAAACCTGCGCCCAGCCCTGGGAATAGAACAGTGAGCCTAGGCCATCTTAGGCTGCAAGTAGCGTTGGCCCCGACGGCCCCTGGGAAATGTAGTCCAGCGCCTGGAACGCTGCCGAAATGCCCCGGCGGGATGGTGCGATTGTTTTCAGCAGTTCAGGGCGTGGGCCTCTCACCCAAGTGGCGTGGCGGGAAAGTCCTACAAGACTGTGCCAAGAGAATAACGAGTCTGCCCCGTCTCTGTCTGAGCCTCGGTACGGCTGGGTGGATATCTCTTATTCCGCAAGTACTAGCCTGGGGTAGAACGAAGGGGAAACGGTCCAAAGGACACAATTACATGCCCAGCCCTACAGGGGTCCCCTGCCGAGGAATCCATGAGAACTCTTCCTAATACTTTATTCCCATCCTCCAATCGTCCTTAAAGTGTTTGTTTTCAATTAATGTTTATAGTCACATTAGTATTGTTTTGTAAATTCTATTCATTCCATTTTTTTGGCTGAAGTACACATTTGCTAGCTTTTTTCATTTGCTTCTCTTTTAGATATACACTATTTAGATCTACATCTAAACTTTCTGACAGAGGAGTAATTTTTTTCAGTACTTGCAAATTTATCAGGTAATTAAAATGGTTTTTTCTTTTTTTTTAATGTGAAACAAAATACTCGAAGTGCATAAAATGTGTAAGTTCAGTAAAACGCCACACAAATGTTGGTATCTCAAGAACAAATGCCCATTCTATGGGATAATTTCTTTTTCTTTTTTTTTTTCTTTTTTGATACAGGGTCTGGCTCCGCCACCCAGGCTGGAGTGCAGTGGCACAATCTAGGCTCGCTGCAACCTCCGCCTTCCTGGCTGAAGTGATCTCCCACCTCAGCCTCCAGAATAGCTGGGACTACAGGTGTGTGACATCACACCCAGCTAATTTTTGTAGAGATGGGGTCTCACCATGTTGCCCAGGCTGGTCTTGAACTCCTGGGCTCAAATAGTCCTCCCCCCTAGGCCTCACAAAATGCTGGGATCACAGGCATGAGTCATTGCACCCAGCCTGTGTGATCATTTCTGATAACCAGCCCCAGCTCACCTTCAGGTTAATATCTTGACTCTTTAATAGTTTCAGTCTCTCTTTGAAATATATATAAATACAATCAAATTGTACAAATTTTCTGTCTTGATTAGTATAATACTAATTTTTTTAGGTTCTATAAGTACTTTTTGTTTGTTTTGGTTTTTGGTTTTTTTTTTAGGCGGGCTCTTGCTATGTTGCCCAGGCTGGAGTGCAGTGACTATTCACAGGCGTGATCCCACTACTGATCAGCACGGGAGTTTTGATCTGCTCCATTTCTGACCTGGGCTGGTTCACCCCTCCTTAGGCAACCTGGTATGTATAATTGAAGTCCCAAAAGAAGAGTAGAGAGAGCATGGAGAAGAATCATATTTGAAGAGATAATGGTAAGGAATTCCCCAAACTGATTAAACAAAGCAACCATAGGTTCAAGAAGTTCATCAAAACTCTGAGGAAAAAAAAGATTCTATAGTTAGCAAAAATCTCCTTCAAATAAGAAAGGAAAAGAAGACATTTCAGACAGACCATGAGAATCCATTGCCATCAGCACGCCAGTAAAAGAAATACTAAATGGAATTTTTCAAGAAGAACAAGATCTCAGATGAAACAAAAAGAAAGGTAGGCTGGGCATAGAGGCTCATAGCAGTAATCCCAGCACTTTGGGAGGCCAAGGTGGAGGTTCATTTGCATCCAGGAGTTCAAGACCAGCCTGGGCAATATAGCGAGACCTCATCTCAACAAAAAATAAAAAATTAGTCAGGTGTGGTGGCACACATCTATGGTCCCAGCTACTCAGGAGATTGAGGTGGGAGGATCACTTGAGCCTGGGAGGTCGCAGCTGCAGTGAACCATGATCATGCCACTGCACTCAATCTAGGTAGCAGAGTCCCTGTTTCCAAAAAGGAAAAGAAAGAAATTTAGTAGGGAAGGAATAGCAATAGAAAGAGTAAATATGTGAATAAATATAAACGAATATTGACTGCACAATGTAATATATTGCTCTCTGGGTTTTTGTTTTTTTTTTTTGAGACGGAGTTTCGCTCTTGCTACCCAGGCTGGAGTGCAATGGCGCGATCTCGGCTCACCGCAACCTCCGCCTCCTGGGTTCAGGCAATTCTCCTGCCTCAGCCTCCCGAGTAGCTGGGACTACGGGCTTGTGCCACCATGCCCAGCTAATTTTTGTATTTGTAGTAGAGACGGGGTTTCACCATGTTGACCAGGATGGTCTCTATCTCTTGACCTCGTGGTCCACCCGCCTCGGCCTCCCAAAGTGCTGGGATTACAGGCATGAGCCACCGCACCCGGCTCCTCTGGGGTTTTGAATGTATGCAGAAATAAATTTAAAAAATAAAGGAAAAATAGGCCGGGCGCGGTGGCTCAAGCCCGTAATCCCAGCACTTTGGGAGGCCGAGGCGGGTGGATCACAAGGTCAAGAGATCGAGACCATCCTAGTCAACATGGTGAAACCCCGTCTCTACTAAAAATACAAAACATTAGCTGGGCATGGTGGCGCGTGCCTGTAATCCCAGCTACTCAGGAGGCTGAGGCAGAAGAATTGCCTGAACCCAGGAGGCGGAGGTTGCGGTGAGCCGAGATCGTGCCATTGCACTCCAGCCTGGGTAACAAGAGCGAAACTCCGTCTCAAAAAAATAAAAATAAAAATAAATAAATAAAGGAAAAATGAGGATGGAGGTAAATAGAGTTCAGGTGTCCCACTAAACTGAAAACTCTTAGGTGAGTGAGAAATAAACCTATCCTTTAAGTTAGAATCTTTAGGGGGCTACTTGTGTATTCCTTCCCTAGGGCTGTCATAACAAATTACTATAAACTTGGTGGCTTAAAGCAACCAAATTATGTAAGAATTTTATTTTCTTACAGATCTACAGGCCAGAAGTCCAAAATCCAGACATCAGCAGGGCTTTATTTTTCCTGAAAGCCCTAGGGGAGAATCCTTGCTTGCCTCTTCCAGCTTCTGATGGCTCCAGGTGTCCCTTGGCTTATGGCTGCATAACTCCAATCTCTGTCTCTGTCTTCAGAACTGTGGGAAATAATTTTCTATTGTTTACAATTACCTAGTCTCAGATGTTTTGTTATAGCAGTACTAAGGGACTAAGACACTTCAGTTCCTGAAACAGCACCAGAGTAATAAATGTGAAAGATGTCTTTATTGTTCATAACAAACCACTTTCAACCACAACTGAGTTAATGAGGCGATGTTAGAAAAGTCCCTACATAACCACAGGATAGGGCAACTAAACTGTGATTAGAAGGTTGGAAAGTTCTGCCCTACTTGGTGACTTCTAGGGAAAGGAACAGAGCACATTAGGCATGGATCGCTTCTCTGTAGTCCAAATTTTTTTTTTTTTTTTTTTTTTTGGTTTTAAGGAGCAGAGAGTTAAATAGGCAAGAAGGAAGGAAGAAGACAGAAGGAAGAAGCTCCCCCATATAAAGACAGAGGGAGGGGGCCTCCAAAGTTGAAAGAGGAGGTCTCCTTGTTTTGGGAGTTTTTCTGAGTCGGATTCTCACTCTGTCACCCAGGCTGGAGTGCAGTGGTGTGATCTCAGCTCACTGCAACCTCCACCCCTTGGGTTCAAGTGATTCTCCTGCCTCAGCCTCCCAAGAAGCTGGGATTACAGGCACCACCATGCCGGTTAATTTTGTATTTTTAGTAGAGGTGGAGTTTTATCATGTTGGCCAGGATGGTCTTGGTCTACCCACCTCGGTCTCCCAAAGTGCTGGGATTACAGGGTTTTTTGCGGGGAGGGGTAGAGAGTATGCAGTTCAGGCTGGTTTCAAACTCCTGGCTCAAGTGATCCCCTGGCGTCAGCCTTCCAAAGTGCTGGGATCACAGGCATGAACCACCGTGACTGGCCTTTTCTGCCATTGTTAAAAGCTTCAGGGTTATATTTTACATCAGCATTTCCTGTTGTTATATACTTCCTGCCATCATATTTCAGCAACCTCTACCACCTCCGAAAGTTTCTAGCTTAAAAAATTATCCATGTCCTGCTAGCTCCCCTTTCTGTCAGCTTTTTAATTTTACATTTGTATTCAAATGAATCATCACGTTGATTAAAAATTTTTAAACAAGATTATAGTGAAAAAGAAGTTTCCCTTTCACTATTTATCTTCCCCATATGCATCTATTATGACGGGTTTCTTTTTAAACTACTTTGAGTACTCATAACTGATTTTGTATTCTAGTTCAGAAGAAATGTCTGAATGTTAAACGTTTACATAAAAATGCTATGTTATTATATCAGTTATGAAGCTTTCCCCCTTTAAAACTGATGCTCCAGGAAGATACAACCTTATTATCACAATTTAAAGAAAATGAGAATTGGAGGTTCAGATTCCTCCACAGTCACAGTATCAGCTACCCATGCAGTGACCCACATTTAGGTGATTACACACTTATACACAGATTCATACGCGATGTTGCCTCCCACCTGCACACACTCAATATGACCTCTCCATCCCCAAAGCTGCACACATCTTGACCTCACCTCTCTCTCATACATGCACCAATCATACCCGCACGCAGTTTCCTTCACTCAACTACCCAGACACTCCTCATCCCAGCAGCACAAGGAGTCCCACTGCGGTCTCACATACACTCCTTTACCCAGTCTGACATGCATGGCTGGGATCGCGGATTTGTCCCCTTCAGACTCCTACTCCTGGTTCGGTCCCAGACGCTCAGGTCCCACACTGGGGCGCGCTCTCCCGGGTCCGCCATACGCTCCTCAGCTGCCCGCCTCAAGAGCGTCTGCGTGCTTCAAACGTTAAGCGGAATTCCGAGCAGCCTCCGGGGAACAGTTAGTTTGGTCACTGCGGCCAGACTCCCGCCTCAGGACCCAGAGGACGCAGCCCACTTTGGCTGGACTCATCCAGTCCCCGGCGAGGCTTGGACTACGTTTCCCAGGAGACCCTGCGGCCTAGCTTGTCTCCCGGGGAAGGGGCGGAAACCTGGGAGCCACCCTCTGTGGCTGGGCGGGGTGAAAGAAAAGTTGCACCAGATGACTTAAACAGGCAAGAAGGACTTGGTTGAAGACTTGCAATAGTCAACTTCCAATACAATAGCAGCTGGAGATTTATAGCCAACGGGCTGGGTGAAGAAGTTAAAGGATGGCAAATTACTAAGAGGAAGTTCAGTATCAAGGGTGGGGGGATTCTTGCTGAACTGGCTTAGTTGGATTCTTGCCGAAGTGGGGTTCACGGGCCATGGAGGAGGCCTGGCCAAACAAAAAGGGCTCAGAGGAGCCTTACTAAAGCTTGATCTAGGGCGTCCTTGTCAGGAGAGACTCCTGGAAGGCTCTGATGGGCGGCTTAGCTCAAAGAGGTACTTTTGTTAGTGCCAGAGTCCGCGCCACCGGAATCAGGATGGCCCGGCTGTACCTTTCGGCAATCTCTCGCTCCTACACTTCCCAGAAGCCTCTAGGCCCATGGCTGTATCCCGCGATAACTAAATTGTCTTTTGCGGAGTGGGCGGGGTCTTCCCGCGGGTCTGAGCGAACGGCCTCCGGGCTTTGTGAGAGAGCTGGGGTCTGCTTGTTTGGATTCCGGAGAAGCGGAGCTGACCCGACCCGAGCAGGCGTAAGTGAGGCGGCTCGGATCCTGGCGCGACAGGAATCCCGGATCTGTGTGGGCTGCGTGGGGAGCAGACTAAGGAGCAACTGTGAAGAGTGTACGGTTGTGGCTGTGGATGTCTCTGTGGTGGGCGTGTGTCTGTGCGACCTGGTGTGCAACTGTGAGGGCGGGGAGGAGGACATGTTTGTGCGGGTGTGATTGGAGTTTAATTGTGACTGCGTTGGGCACCGCGTTTGCGAGTGTGCGGTTCCTGGGCCGCGGTTGTGACTGTGTGTTCCCTTGGGGGTGTGTGTGTGTTTATTACCATTTGCCGAACTGTGTGCAGTATGCCTTAACTGTGAGGTTTGTGGCTGCTTCCGTGTGTGTGTGTGTGTGTGTGTGTGTGCGCGCGCGCGCGCATGTTGGTGATATTCTTGATGTAGGGTGCGTGTGAATTTGTTGTCATTGTGACCCCAATGTGTATGTCCCTGGGAGTTTGCGAGATGCCCACGGACTCTGGTTGTGCCCCTGTCTGCACATGTCGTGTGTGTGTGTGTGTGTGTGTGTGTGTGTGTGTGTGTGAGACCGTGTGCAGCTGTTGTACTGGACCGAGCCTAGAAAGTTAGCACCGAGACAGAAGTATGCCAGATTGCAGGGTCATTTATTATGCCAGCGACCACAGAGGACTCTCGTCTCTCCAACCTGTGGCGTCGAAAGGAGGGTGCCAAGACTTTTTATACCCGAAAAACCACCTTGGGAGTGGGGGTGAGGAGCGGTGAGGAGCGGGGATGGGGATGAAAAGGTTTCAGACATTCCAAGGGCCAGGGGATTTTGTAATTCACCTCCTGGGCGGAGACGAGGGTGGGGGGTCTCCGGGCATTCCAAGGGCCAGGGGACTTTTGTCATTCTGTTTGTTACTTCAGTGGTTTACAGAAGTCAAGATAAGCATTTGTTTACACATTGTCTGGGTACTGATAGAAGTCACAGATCTTAGTTACTTATTACAAGTCACAGGGGCCAGGATGGAATTAGCCTGGGCTGCTTATTTTAGTTATTACCGGTAAGCAAAGGCTAGCAATTTTGGCAGTTACTGATAAGAAAAGGTAAGCAGCTTTACATAGTTTGCAGAACAAACTAGCAGTTCTATTTACAGAAGCCGAGGCCAGCAGTTATTGTGAGGAGAATGGGGCAGCCATTGCAACTTATTTAAAAACAGTTTTGCATTTTATGAAAATGGCGTTGCTCAGGTTCTGGCTCTAGGCCAGCACACAGCCTGTTGTATTTAGGTTTGGGGTGCCTGTGACATTTATGTCCCCATGGTGTGAGTGAACGAGTTTGTGTGACTATGTGTCCGTATAGCCAATGTGGGTATGGGGAGTCTTTGTCTCTCTTTGTGACTTCAGCCACTGGAGACCTCTGTGAGCTCAGAAACAGATTCTGCCCAGAACGGCATTGACCCTGCCATTGTCTGGGATACCTGGATTGAGCAGGATGCCCTAGACTTCTCTGACCTTCCTATGTAGGTGGTGGGCAATAGGGGCTGAGCCAAGATAACTTCTGACATAGTCAAACTGGCTCCCTCTCAGAAGAACCTCATGTTTCCTGACTCCCTTCTCCTTTCTCAGCTCTGCCCTGCTTGGATAGAGGCCTCAGGAGAGGAGTACAGAATGGCTGTTGAACATCCACAAGGCACCTGCAAGGTAGCTTGTCCTTTCCTCTTGTTTCCTGAAGTCACATTTTCTTGGTTAGGACATAGTTTCTTTCCTTTTCTTGAAAATTCTTGCCTGTCAGATGATCTGATCCCTGGAGTTTCCCTATTGAGAAAATGTGATGTCTTCAATCTCCACCTCCCACACCTGATTTTATCTTACTAATTTGTCAGTTTTAAATTTTCTTTACTTTTTTTTTTGAAACAGAGTCTGGCTCTGTTGCCCAGGCTGGAATGCAGTGGTGCGATCTCAGCTCACTACAGCCTCACCTCCCTGACTCGAGCAATTGTTGCATCTCAGCGTCCCAAGTAGCTGGAATAATAGATGTGTGCCACCAAGCCTGGCTAATTTTTGTATTTTTAGTAGAGATGGGGCTTTACCATGTTACCCAGCCTGGTCTCACACCCCTGGGCTCAATCCATCCACCTGCCTCTGCCTCCCAAAGTGCTGGGATTACAGGTGTGAGCCACTGCACTTGGCTTTAATTTTTCCTTATGCTGTCTTTTTAAAAAATATGATTTCTTTCCGATTGTATAAGTAAAACATGATTGTTTTAACTTAATTTAAAAAGTACAGAAATTCCTAATGAAGAAAATTTATATTTTAGCTACGCACATAAAACATAATTAAATTCATGTAGCATTTATCATTTTATATCCTACATGTTCTTTTTTTCTTTTTTTTAAAGATGGGGTTTTGAGTAAAAAAATAAAAATAAAATAAAAATAAATAAAGACGGGGTTTCACCATGTTGGTCAGGCTGGTCTTGAACTCCCAACCTCAAGTGATCTGGCCGCCTTGGCCTCCAAAGTGCTTTGATTACAGGCATGAGCCACTGCACCCGACCTAGCCTACATTTTCATTTAAAATTAAATATTTTCCCATATAGTATATTTGGAAAATATTTTTAGAGATGCATAACATTTACTTGAATGCCTACAGCTTTTTCCTTCTTCAAATTTGTTACAGAAATGGGACCCACTTGTGCAGCTTAGCAAGTAATTATAAAGACCCATGTAAGGGGTACCCAGATCAATAAATAGAATACAGCCATCACTGAAGAAGCCTCTGCTGTACTTCTCCACAGCCACAAACAACGTTGTGCCCTTGTGATGATAATCACTATGGCCATTTCTTTGCCTTTCATTAGAGCTTTAGTACATATGGATGAATCCCAGAGCCACATAAGTGTAGATTTTGTTTGTTTTCTAACTTTGTTTGAATAGACATTCATTTGCTTCTTTTTTTCACAAAAGACTACATAAAAGTGACACAGTTCTTTTTATTTTTCTTTTTGAGATGGAGTCTTGCTCTGTTACCCTCCACCTCCTGGATTCAAATGATTCTCCTGCCTCAGCCTTTCAAGTGGCTGGGATTACAGGTGCATGCCACCAGGACCAGCTAATTTGTGTAGTTTTAGTAGAGACGGGGTTTCACCATGTTGGCCAGGTTGGTCTTGAACTCCTGACCTCTGGTGATCCATCTGCCTCGGCCTCCCACAGGGTAGTGAAAAATGAAACGTGATAAGGAAGAAGAGTGAAAGATACCATGCAAAGAAGGCTTGATTATACCAGATGTCATTAACATAAAAATATTAGAAAATAAATATCTATATTTATATCTAAATCTATATCTAATTTTCATATCCCCCACTTCCAAAAATGTATTTGAGGCCAGGAATAAAAGAAAATGATCTCTCTCTCTCGCTATCTCTACACACACACACACACACACACACACACACACACACACACACACACCACACAACACACATTTTATTTGTACCATTTAAGACTAAGTTGCAGATATTTTGCCCCTTTATTTCCTAACAATAAGAGTATTCTCTTACATAACCACAGTATAGTTATTAAAATTTTAACATTTATATAATATCTAACCCATATTTAAAATTTTGTCTCATCCCAGTGATGTTCCTTTTTGAGACAGAGTCTCAGTCCGTCACCAGGCACCAGGCTGGAGTGCAGTGGTGTGACCTCGGCTCACTCACTGCAACCTCCACCTCCCGGGTTCAAGCAATTCTCCTGCCTCAGCCTCCCGAGTAGCTGTGACTACAGGCATGTGCCACCATGCCCAGCTAATTTTTTTGTATTTTTGGTAGAGACGGGGTTTCACCATGTTGGCCAGGATGGTCTCGATCTCTTGACCTCATGATCCACCCGTCTTCCTCCTCCCAAAGTGCTGGGATTAGAGGCGTGAGCCACCGCACCCGGCCGTGATGTTCCTTTTAACAAACTACCCTGTCCTCTCTCCTCATCTATCCAGGATCCACTTTAAAATCACACATTAAATTTATTAATTGTGTCTCTTTAGTCTGCTTTAATGTAGAAGAGTTGCTCTCCCTTTGTCTTTCATGATCTTGGCATTGTTGAAGAGGAGAAGCCACTTATTTTGTAAAAACTTCCTTAAGTTGGGTTTGTCTTATGGTCTTTCATGCTTGCATTCAGGTTATGAATTTTGTGGCAGGAATACCATAAAGGTAATACTGTATCCTTCTCGGTGCATCATATCAGGAGATACATGATGCTGACTTGTTCCATTTCTGAAGATGTTAACTGTGATAATTTGTTAAGGGGATATCTACCATGTTTCTCCACTGTAATATTGGTAGTTGTCTATTTGTAATTAAAAGATAATTTGTGGAGATATACTTTGTAACTGTGTAAATAACTGGTCGCCAAACTTTTCCCCACTAGTTTAAAATCCATTCATTGATAATTATTCTTGGATCTGTTATTAATATGAAGTAATAGTAATAATGGGAGGGTTTTTTTTGGTTTGTGACTCACTGAATGACAGTAATTGCTATAAAGGGCTAGGACTAAGATGAGCAAGTGAGACAGTGAGAAGCACTCACTGCCAGATGAAACTACAGTTGCATGACCCTGAGACGGAATGCCTCAAATTTTGCACCCTGGGTTCTGCATTCTTTTTTTTTTTTTTTTTTTTTTGAGACGGAGTTTCGCTCTTGTTACCCAGGCTGGAGTGCCATGGCACGATCTCGGCTCACTGCAACCTCTGCCTCCTGGGTTCAGGCAATTCTCCTGCCTCAGCCTCCTGAGTAGCTGGGACTACAGGCACACGCCACCATGCCCAGCTAATTTTTTGTATTTTTAGTAGAGACGGGGTTTCACCGTGTTGACCAGGATGGTCTCCATCTCTTGACCTCGTGATCCACCCGCCTCGGCCTCCCAAAGTGCTGGGATTACAGGCTTGAGCCACTGCGCCCGGCGGGTTCTTCATTCTTAAGACAATCATCATCAGGGTTATAAGTGCAGGGTTGGCAATCTGAGGGTGAACACCTCAAGTTTTGTGCCATAAGTGCCTCACTTACCTTAGCTGTGTCCTGTTCCTGCTGTGGTGCTGCACCTGTGGAAGTTGCTGGAAATCTGCCCTCTAGCATTTGCCAGGAATCCATCTGTGGCAGACTGGGTTGTCTTATCAGAAGCATTTGTTACAAAACTTTCAGACAAGGCTGTCGGGTGCAGCTGGCCACCTTGTACTTTCAGAGCTGGGAGCTAAAGAAGCTGCGTGACTGAAGAAGCCTGGTAAAGTTACCCATGCTGCTGGAGTTGGGTGCTGGGGAAATTGAATGTGCTGCTGGAGGTAGACCTGGATGCTGGAGCCGCCTGCCAGGCAAGCATACCAGAACCAGAAAGGAATGCCCCTGGGATTACAGGTGCTGCGCCACCAAGCCCAGCTAATTTTTTGTATTTTTCAGTAGAGGCAGAGTTTCACCATGTTGGCCAGGCTGGTATCAAAATCCAGATTTAAGTGATCCACCCACCTCGGCCTTTCGAAGTGCTGGGATTACAGGCGTGAGCCACCACACCTGGTTCATGTTGAATAGTTTAGATGTATCTGGTTTATTTACACTACTATTTCATAACCTTTGTGACTATATCACAGTATATTTTCTCCGACATATTTTTTATGTAGATAATTGGCAGTTTCCAGCATTTTACTCTTTTTTTTTTTTTTTTTTTTGAGACGGAGTTTCGCTCTTGTTACCCAGGCTGGAGTGCAATGGCGCGATCTCAGCTCACCGCAACCTCCGTCTCCTGGGTTCAGGCAATTCTCCTGCCTCAGCCTCCTGAGTAGCTGGGATTACAGGCACGCGCCACCATGCCCAGCTGATTTTTTGTATTTTTAGTAGAGACGGGGTTTCACCATGTTGACCAGGATGGTCTCGATCTCTTGACCTCGTGATCCACCCGCCTCGGCCTCCCAAAGTGCTGGGATTACAGGCTTGAGCCACCGTGCCCGGCCGCATTTTACTCTTAATAAAACTCTTAATAAAACTGTTATGAACATTCTAGTGGATGTTTTAGCTATGAGTGGAATTGCTGGGTAATAGGGAATATGCATGTTAGCCTAGATAATGCCAAACTCTTTCAAAGCGGTTGTATGAAAAAGTGGTCTACTTCCAACAGTGTATGTTTGCCACCGCCTTTGCCACATTTTTGCCACATCTTTACCTACATTTGGAATAGTCACACTTTTTACTTACCTAGTATACTTAGTAATATCTCATTATGGTGTTAATTTGCATGACCATGACTACTAATGAAACAGAACATCTTTTCATTTGCATTATCTTTTGTCTCCTTTTTTTGTTTCAAGATTTGTTCATTTAGGCAAAATTCACATGAAATACACTTAACCATTTTAAAGTGGTATTTGCTGTATTCATAGTATTGTGCAACTATGGTTTTTCTCTAGCTTTAAACCTTTATCATCTGCCTATAGAAACACTGTATACCCATTTGAAGCACAAACTTTTAACTTGGATGAATTTAAATTGATGTGTAATTTTCTTTGATTGCTTGTGCTTTTAGTGTCAAATCTAAGAATTAACTGCCAAATCTGAGGTCATGAAGATTTAGAAATCCTGGTCAATCTGCACTGCAGCTCCATACAGATTTTGGGTACCTACTGCAGTTCCATATGGATTTGAGGAGTGGCTTTTCATT